TAAAAGCACCAACAGGGTCACACTACCCCTGTTGATACTCAGACGCAGGTCTTTGGCCAAGGCAACCATAGTGGTCTCAACTCCAAATCCTGTCCTAAAGCCACTCTTGGGTCCCTTTCCTGGACATGTCTGTGTTCTCCTGTCCAAGGGCATCCGTGACTACATTATAAGGCAGCCATCTGGCCCTCTCTCCCTGGGACTAACTCTCCTTCTCTTGCCCTTCCTCCAGCCACTTCACTCCAGCCTCATCTTCCAATGCCCCTCCTCAACCACACCTGACCGTCTTCTCTTATTCATTTTTTCCTTTGGCCCCACCTCCTTCTCTTCTCTCTCCCCCAGGTCCTCCACTCCCTCACCTTCTGGCTGTTCCATACCTTGCTCTCCCCAACCTTCTCCATGTTCTAACCCTTTGCTCTCCAGATGATCTTTCAACTTCTTTTCCACTCTGTCTAACCCATGAGACCCCAATGTTGCTCCCTCCATCTGGCTACAAATTGTAAACTGCTCAGGGAGTGCTAGTTAACTGATAAGTGATATAGAAATGTACTTGCTATTGCTATTGCTATCCTTCTTGGGGGAGAGTGTTGTAAGGGCAATGCTTTCTAGACTCAATAAATGGGGTTAGGAGTCAGTTTCACCCATTCATATCCCCATTAATGGAAGAAAGCTTGCTTTTCATGGTGATGGGCAGCTCAGGATTGAACAAATATGGGCCCCCAGGAAATGTGTGGTATGCCATGTAGAGTCAGTGGTATTGGGATCCTTAGTCTGGTTTCCCTGTATCGATTGATAATAATATTAATAAATAATATTAATAAATAATGATGATGATGATGATGATGATGATGATGATAATAATAATAATAATAATAATGAAATTTATTTGTATCCCACCCCTCTGCAAATTCAATCAGGGTGGCTTACAGCAATAAAACATCACAAGTATATCATCCCAAAACCCTCTCACTCCTTAAAACAATATTAAACATCATAGAAATTAAAAACACGACAAATTACAAACAATTAATTAAACAGTTAAAAAATAAAAGCTGAGCAGACAGCTAGTAGCGGTATGGTAGGGGATAAGGGAAGGGCAAAAATCACTCTTTAGGCCATGAAGACTAATCAGGAAAGGCCTGCCGGAAGAGATCCATCTTCACAGCTTTTTAAAAGCTGTTTAGATTGGTAATATGATGGAACTCATCCGGCAGGCTGTTCCATAGTCTGGGAGCGCTAGCTGAGAAGGTCGGGGGGTTGCAGACTGCCAGAAATAGTGCAAATTGAGTCCACTTTTAGGGTTAAGGTTAGGGTTAGGGAATCATGGGAACTGTATTTTATTGTGGCTTCAGAGCTCTCTGACAGAGAAGGCTAAATGTCTCAGGAAAAAAACCAATTCCCATGATCACCTAGCACTAACCCTAACCCTAAAAGTGGACTCAATTTGCACTATTTTTGGCAGTCTGCAACCCCCCGTCCTCTGGGATCTTGTAGCACCTTTGAGACTAACTGAGCAAAAGAATTGAGTCTCAAAGTTACTAGAAGATCCCTTTGCATACTGATGTTCTAGACTAACATGGCCATGTCTCTGAGAGAAGAAAGTTTAGAAAGATTATAACTCAGAAATAGATAACACTCACTGCCCATAGATTGCAGCATCCGAAAATACATTTGAGCATACAATACTTGATGTGTACAATATTTTTCTACATATCCAGTCAACTTAGAAAATTAGAAAGATTAAGGACATGAAGAATGAATTGTAGGGCCTATGCTCAATCTTTCAGTCATTATAGTGAGCTTTGAAAGTTACTTATAAAATTATTATCAACAACTTTTGTTTCATTATGTAATTTGTTGCAAACCACAAAAGCATCTTATTCCCATTAACAGGTGCCCTTGAAATGAAATTCATTAACTTGTTACATACCTCATTAAGCTATTCATGTTACCATATTTTCTGGCATATAAGATGACTGGGTGTATAAGACGACCCCCAACTTCCCCAGTTAAAATTACAGAGTTTGGGATATACTTGCTGTATAAGACGATCCCTCTTCCAATGCATACCAAATAAATTTTTTTTAAAAACCCATCAGATTTGATTTCAATATGGTAATTTTAACTCAAATGCTTATGACATGCAGGTACTTGGCAGGAAAACTGTCACTTATAAACACCACAAACTACAGCTCCAATGTTCTCCCAGCTATGAGGTGGGTGGTGGGAAATGAGAAAGTGTTGGGAGGAAGGACTGCCAATATACTAAGTGATGCATTCTGATATGTACAATTTGTGGCCAAGTAAGTGACCCTGGGCATGTCACATACTCTCAGCCTGAGAGGATGATAATGGCAACCCCCATTTGAAGAAACATGCCAAGAAAACCCCATGATAAGGTTGCCTTAGGGTTGCCATAAGTCGGAAAGGATTTGAAGACCCACAAGAACAACAAAAAAGTCTGGAATTGTTTCATAGGCAGTACATAGAAATAAGAGCCAGCATGGTGTAGTGGTTTGAGTGTTAGACTACCACTCTGGAGACATGGGTTTGATTCCCCACTTTGCCATGAAACCCACTGGGTGAACTTGGACAACTCACACACTCTCAGCCTCAGGGGAAGGCAATGGCAAACCTCCAAAAAAACCCATGATCACCATAAGTCAGGAACAATTTGAAAGCACACAACATACACACATAACCTCCAAGTTAAGGAACTTGGTTCTTCTTTAGATAAATCTTCAAAGGTACACATACACTCTCTCTCATTGTGCAGACTTATTTGTTAAAGAAGCCATGCCCAAGTAACACATCACCTTTGGCAGCGTCTGCATTGCAGAAATTTATTAAAGCAGCTTGACACCACTTTAACTGT